TCTAAATCCAATTACAATTATTTTTTATATTCGATTATTTCTTACCTTATCTTTCGTATTTACCACATTATTTGACCAATTTGTTTGATTTTCAATAGAAACTGGAATTGATTGTTTTATGGAACCATGCTCTCTTGATCTGACTGGAGGAATCGGAGGTTGTTCCTTCTCCAAAGTGTCCAGTGCAAATGTCACTCTGCTATCTACTCTAGACGATCTATCCAACATAGAAGTCGGCATTGTGAATCGTTGCACTGAAACTGATCGCTCGTCGTATCCAAAACGGTCGTTATCTTTATTATCTCGTATTTTAGCTTCTTCCCTCGTTAAGCTTCTGGTCCTTTGTGCCGGCATAGTAAAACTCACTTCTCGTTTATCGCCACGAGATCTGCTAATTTCTCGATGACTTTGCGATTTTTCACTTAAAGAAGGTGTTACAATTCTACAATGTATAAAATTATAGATTTATCGCCCAGAATATAGATTAAATTGAAACGTTCATTGACGACGAGATACCTTCGTTTAATATCTGGAATGAAGATAACATCGCTTTCTTCGCTAGGGTCGCTAACTCCGTAAGGATTTTCGGCTTTCACGCGAAATTTGTATTCAGAATCTTCGATCAGATCTGTTAATGTTGCAGTGGTGCGTCTGCTCGTAGTTGCTTTAAGCCATACTTCCCAGCCAATCTAAAACAATCGTTGCCAAATTTCTGAAAATTTACGCAGATTAAAATAATAGTTTTGATTACATACTCTGTAGTATTCGACAATATAAGTCCCGATTTTACATCCGCCATCATCTTCTGGTTCTTTCCACGATAACGTCACCGATCTACCTAGACTCATTGCGACAGTTATTTTGCTAGGAGCAGCAGGTCGATCTATTGATAAAATTGACAGAGTAAAGAAGTAACAAATTCTTGAACTCACATTATAAATTTTAAGAAGCTAATATTTAAATTAATATAATAATATAATAATTATATTACCTGTCACGGTGACCAGAAAAGATGCAGTGTCTTCCCCTAGTTTATTTGTGGCTTTGACAGTGTACTCTCCTCGATCATTTCGTTTAGCATCTGGTATTTTCAAAACCGATTCACCATCCATCTCTTCAAAGACGTGTCTAGCATCTTTGGATATCGGCTCTCCGTCGTGATACCAAATAATGGTAGGCGTTGGTCTACCTGCCAAGGATATTTTCAATCTAATGGTTTCATCTTGCTCGAAAAGCAAACCGTCTTCATATTGACGCGGCAGTCGTATCCGCGGAGGCGCTGGACATACAAATAATATTTAGCAACTTATCAATATTATAAAGAAGCATATTTAAATATTTTATATTAAAATTGACAACTTATTAACCTTCGAGAATTAATTTAGCTCTGGTAGCAACGTGGCCTGCTCGATTAGTAGCGGTACATTTAATTTCACCCTCATCATTAAGTGCAGTCTGATGAATCAAGAGAATGCTCTTGCCATTATCCGTAATGATTCTAGTGCGTCTACTACTGAAAATCTCAAAATCATCCTTGAACCATGAAATTTTTGGCAATGGTGTGCCAGAAAATTGTATGATAAACTCGGCCTATGTAAAACAATTATAAATACACTTGGAAATTATAGATGATAATGTATATTATATAGAGATATACATTTATTTATATACCTATACCAATTATATACCTGTTCATTTTCGAGTGCAATCGTATCCTTAAGCTCCAAATCGAAATGAGGAGCACAAGCGATAGCCGCTCTTTGTAATGTAACTATGAGTGGTTCGGAGACCTCGCTTGGCTGTGAAAGTCCGAGTGCATTTTGCGCTCTAACTCGAAATTGATAACGCCATCCTGGATCGAGACCGCTTAGAGTTAACTCTGGAAAGGCGCAAAGACCGGAGGTGCTTCGTACCCAATGAGGAGAGCCTAATCGTCGATGTTCGACCAAGTATCCGATAATCGCTGATCCACCATTACTTGGTGATCTTTCCCATCGTATTGCCACAACGTCCGGTTGCGTTTCATTCGTACCCGATATTAAGATAGGCTTACCCGGTGGGGCTGGGAGACCTATACCAAATTTCTTTCAATTCTTTATTAAAATTTATATAATCTATCTATTTTATAAGTTTAAGTAAATCTATAAATTAAATACAAAAACCATTATTCATTAAACTATTATTCATTTAACCACAATCTGATTTAACACAACATTAACATAACATAACAAATTAATTTATTAATGTTAACTTCTTTATTTATAAAAGGAAAAGAGATGAGCACAACACAATACTAATGTCAAAAAATATGCTCGTGTTAGAACTATATTCATGTATCTATATAAGACAGATAATTTTCAACATCAGTACATATAAGTACCGCTCCCAAAATAAAATGCGTCGCGTTTGGCAGTACAGTAGAGTACTAAGCCGGCGCGCATCATCTGCAGATTGACTATTTCATATCACGATTTCTCTTGCAATATTTATTAATTGTTGCATTCTATAACATTATAGTTTTGTATAAATAATGCAAAGTAAACTAAAATGTGACATTTTTAACTAAATTAAAATTAATAGCAGTCCAATTCTAAATATTATCTGGCTGTTAAAACTGCCTAAGTAAAGATGATTTAACAATAATTTTTCTAACCTTTTACTTTATATATTTGCATTGCATAAAAAAACAAGCAACATGAAGAAAGTAGATGTCAATTAAATCTATAATAAGTAATTGAATCTTTACAAAATATATAAAAATATAAATTACATATAAGAAGGATTAAATGATATAACGTATTAAGATGAGAGAGAGAGAGAGAGAGAGAGAGAGAGAGTCTTCTTGAAATAATCGAGATAATATTCAAATTTAAAGTTTGAAATTATATAAATGGTAATTTTGTTATTATAAGTAAAGGGAAAAGAAAAGAAAACAAGAAGAAAATTGTTATGTTCACGCAAACTTTTCTCAGAATGCAATACTTATTACATCAAGCTTTATAATAGGTTCTTCTTTTTTGATTTAATCGACATGGCTATTCCAATTTTTGATTTATAAGAACTGTTCAAAATCTCTTTAAAATTATTAAGAATCATAAAATTAAATGAATGAAACAATAAATTGATCTACCTGGACCATCCCAACGCGCTTTTCTCGAGCTGGTGCCGATGGAGATGTTTCTCGAATAGTCTTTTGTGCTGACGTTGCCCATTATCAAACTATCTCTTTCTCCTCCTCGTCGAACCTAGCTCGATGATTATTCCATTCCTGATCAGTTTTCCGATCGTTTTTACGTATCAAAACATCGAAAGTATCACATCATTTACAGAACCATCTGATGAGATGATCAAAGAGTAAAGTGAAGCTGATGATCTTTGAAGATGACCAACTTGGGTGAAAGAAGGGTAAGAAGAAAGAAAGAAAGAGAGAAGGGAAGGGAGAGGAGAAAAAAAGAGACAGAAGAAGAAAGGAAGGAGATGGTCAAAAAAAAGAGAGAGAAAGATAACTAGTATGCTCGATATAGCGCGAGGCTCGATGGAGCACTGGCAAACTTCCCTGTAGTCGACGACTGTAGCGACGCCAAATCTCTTTAGCTTTTCTCGAGTCTATCTTTGTTTCACTGGTGTTTCTTTATCTATATATACATTTCCATCAATACAGATACATATAGATAATCACTAATTTAAAAGATAGATGTATATATGTATTGCATAATGAATATCAAAATAAAAGTACCTATCAATTAATATTATTAATTAATACATCTAATATATTATTATTATTTAATAAAATACAATAGAAAAAGGTGTGCGTGCGTGCATGCGTGCGTGTAGTTGAGATCACATACAACTTTATAATACTACCATATCCCAAATTGAAATTTTTTGTAAAAAAATATGAGTGGCAATTTTAAATAAAAATATAATACATCAGTAAACTTGTAATAAATATTTATACAATATTTTAATGTATTAATTTTACTTGAAATTATTTAGGTAAAAGTTTATTGAGAAAAAATATTATATAAACGTTATTTATATTGAAATTTACACTTAATGATTATTCTATAGTTATTGCATGTATAATATATTCGCACATTTTATAATGTAATCACGTGTTGCTATATAAATGTGCAAGTCACTCAAAAATGATATCAATATCTTCCTATCATTTTGTTATTGCAAATTACTGACAAATGACAAATGTCTTTAGAATATGTTTATGTATATGTTTATATATTAAAAAAATGAAATCGTTTGGTATTCTTTGTAATTAAATTGAGAAGCGTATATAGATAATTTAGGTATCTCATATAAAGACACGAGGGGTGCCTTAATATTGTAATTTGCGTAATAATAAAGTGATCTAAAATGTCTATTAATTCTGCATGCGCTCATCCATATATGGTAAATCGTGTAACATCATCTACACGGGACATACACCTTTGCGTTATCATTATAATCTCTGTTATTTCTTGTCTAAAATATTTCTGCATATTTCTGTTCAAGGAAGATAAGAAGTAGAAAAAATGCGGTTCCAGAGAGATAGAGAGATGAAAGGAAGGGAAGAGCCATGCGTAAAGGAAGGGGAACACACGGTTAATCGGTGCCAAAGTACCGTTGCATCTGAATGGACCAGAGATGGCTTTTGGTTTTCTTGCAACCTTCATCGCAGCTGCAACTTCGCACTGCACCTATCGTGCACTAAGCTCGTACACATTTTATTTAAATATATATGCGTGCACCTATACGCATGTAAAATTGTTTCTTTTGCACTAAGATGAAACACGTGTGACAGATTCGAATCAACGAGACGTGACAATTTGTTGCTCACGTGGATATCCAGCGTCTGGAGGTGAATTTGAAACAGCTGCTCGTTGATATTTCACATTTCCGTGATGTATTCCAAGTATATATTATGCCGTGTGCTGTGTCTATATAATGTTTCGTTATAATATTTTTCAAGTGTCTCCAAAATTTCTTCGATGCAGTTCAATGTGAAGGTCACTTTATTAGAGTGGTGAGTATCATTGATATATGTAAATATATAATTATAATTGTAATTAATTAAAATATTAATAATAAAACATTAGAACAAAGAATAAAGATATGTGTTGGACCTCTTTTATGTTATTATTTAAAGTTATCAGAAATAACTTTTCTTTTAACGATCAGCTATAGAAATGCCTATAAAAAACTTGAAGGCGGCGAATATCCTGGAAGCTCTAGAATCAAAGCTTGCGTATGTTCCTGGTGGTCGGGATCGCGATGGACGACCTTTAATAGTAATTAATGTTCCACCGGAATTCGATCCAACGACAAAGTCGAAATTAGAATCTCTTATTTTATATTTTATATCAATTTTCAGGTATAGAATATCTTTGACATCTTGTCAAGTCTATATTTAAAAATACTTAAAAAATATATTAGTTGATTTTTAAACATAAATAATTTTTTAATATTTGTTAATGATTAACTATATAGCGAGGAAACGAAGGAAAACGGATTGGTTCTAGTTGTAGACGCGCGTCGCGGTGCATGGCGCATAACTAGATTTTGTATTAGACTCTCTATGAATCTTATAAGATCTAAAGTTGTTTCCGTGATTGTGGTACGGCCAGATGGTTTCTGGGATAAACGTGTCGATAGCTGTACCAAGTCGCATAAAGAAGGCGAAGTGAGTAAATTAATTTGACAAATATGTTTATCGTTGTTTTACGCTTTTGCACATATAAAGATGCAAATCATTTGACTTACTTTATCCCCGATCATTTTAGCCAATATACGTTACTATAACGAGACTGCAGGTTTACATCGATTTTTCTCAATTACCATACGAATTAGCAGGTAATAAGGCATACAATCATATCGATTGGATTAAGAAACGTATGGTAAGTTAAACATTTTGACATTTTGAAATACAAATTAAATTTTCAATAATGTGTGTGTGTGTGTGTGTGTGTGTCAATGTGTCAATATGTTAACGTTTCAATTTTTGATTGATAAATTGATAATTTTTAATAAATTTTAATAAATCTTTGTAGAAAATGGAAGATTATTCAAAAGCTGCGTTAGAACTTGTATCAAAAATGACAAATTTATATCATAGATTAAATATCCTTGACGGTATTCGAATGATGCAATCGAATGATGATATAGAATCTTATTGGGAAATGGGCACAGAATTGTTATCAACAGCGCGTCACATACTTCAATCAGGTTTGTGTATTACATTTTTAACTGATAAATTTCTTACTTATCATATGAATTATAATTATATCATATGAATATCAATAAATAGATAAATAGATAAAGACTTAGATAACTATGATTATTCATGTGCTAATAATGTGCTTAATAATTTATTATAAACAATAATGTATTAATAATTAATTAAAGTAACGAAAAAGATTAAGTAAATTTCGTTTATTTAGGTAGGAGTCTAGTGAGTTCTATGAGTAGGGAATCCTCCAAGGATATTTTGGATACCATTAAAGGAATTCACAAGCTGCTCGATTCTATTGAATTAAAGCAGGTATTTAATTACACTCACGACCGATATTCAAATTTATTTTATATTTAGTCAATGCCATATTTTGTTTTTATTATTTATAGATGGACATTGAAAATTTATGGACTGAAATGGAACGAAATCTGGATACTGTTAGAATAATAGAAGAACTTGAACAGGGTGTGTCGAGCGTTACTGATTGGATCTTAGGTCCAGCAGACATAATGCTCAATTCTTGTTGTCAAGTTGGCTTCGACGTTTCTTCATCTGAGGAACTTCGAAGACAGCACGAAAAAATTGAACTTCAATGTCGGGTAAAAAAACGATAAGTACAATTTAATAACTTTTATTTTTATATTTTATTGTATGAATATAGCTCTAATATATGTTACGTATAGGAGACTTATGGACGATACGCAGAATTGCTTCATAAAATCGATAATCTCCCTAAAAGCAAATTACCAGAAGATTTAAAATCTCAAAGAGATTTTATGGACTTTGTTTGTCGTAGTTTTGCTTCACGACTCGAAAGACGTAGAAACGTATTGATTACATCGCAAAGATTCTTTAGATTTGTCTCCGAGGTAAAAGTCGACTTTTTATAGATCGAATCATTATACAGTTAGAGAAAAGGTTTTTTGCTTTTGACTGTTGCTTACAGTATTTCGACAGGACAAGTGAAGTATTCGAGCAATTAGTCATGGGCAATAGAAATTCTAATTTCTCTCAGGCGAGCATTAAGCTTTTAACTTTGGAAAAAAATCAAACAGTTTTAGGTAACATTGATTTATATTATATATTAATTTGTTCGATTTTCGATCTTTGAAAAATTTTTCAGACAATTTAGAGCGCGAGCTCGTAAA